TAGGTCAGGACACGACGGGATTCTACAGCGCCTGGCAGAAAATGTAAATATGACTCTTCAGACAGAAATACGATATCTGAAGAGTCGAACCATTCAGCTTTTTACTCGTGCCTTTTCAATTATTTTTGGCGTTTTTGGTGCTGAATATTATATTTATATGTGCTTATGGATGACCTGGAACAATCGCTGAAGGAATTATCAAGAAATGAGTGTTAGAGGTGAGTGTTTGTACCGGTTTGCCTTGAGATTTCATTATTCTCTCTATATTATGTGTGCATCATTGTATGAATCTTGGTCAAGACGACTACAAGAAATAGGTTTCATATTTTAAAAGAATTTGTAAGCTCCCCACAAAAGGAGAAAGAATAATTTCAACAAGGGAAGCACCTTTAATAATTTAACACCAGAATCAAAAGCCCATGTCGAGTTCCAGCCAAAGAGATTTGCTAATCAAATGTCTTTATACTATACAATTCTAAAAGCTGTAGATACTTGAATAGTTTATTTTCAGCAAACAATCACTGAAATGATACAGAGCCCAGTAGTGCTGTCACTACTATGACTACTGCTTGACACATGTGTATTAAATTTTCCATGAAGTGATTTGAATATTTTTGTTTTTCATTGTATTGTGTGCAGTTTGACATTGGTCAATGGTCACTGATGTTCTTGAATTCCAAAAGATCTTCAACTACATGTGATATGAATATAAATATAATATTATATTTGCAACCCATGAAATGTATATTTTCTATGTAGCTCTGGTACAGTTCAACATAGCACAATTTGATTGAGTAAAAGGCTTTCTGAGGGTGCCTCTGGCAGCCACCTTATGGAGGGTGAGTTAAAGGCTAATCCCAAGCCACCCTGTCAACATTCCCTCTATAGAGGTAAAAAGTCCTTGCTCTGACAATTGCACTACCAAAGTCGGTAGTGCAATCAGCACGCCACCATAGCCCCAGTAGGGTGCAGTGGAACTTAATGGGCTACGCTGTTAATTTGTGCCAATGTCCCTAGCTTGTTGAGAAGTTCAGCTGTGGGTGAGTGCATGGGTCTATAAATAAAAATCCACAATCTTGAGTATTAAATTTGCATAAATATTGCTATAGCTCTAGATTCCTTTGAATGTAAATACTAGTAGTTTATGTTATGAGCAAAATAAATAAAATTCTCAAGACTTTAAAAAATGTTACAGGGGTTGTTGTTTGCATAGCATGTTGATGAGGTATATCTCATTCAGTCAAGTTGTGTAAAACATATGCCCTTTCTAACTTGGCTGAACCAATGACTATATACAGGATTTAGGAGCAAGCACAGAAACAACTGGGATAGGTCTTATTGTGTTTACATTACAAACCTACACTTGTCCAAGCACTTTACTGGGACCTTCCGTGAGTGATCTGCAGGGGCGTAGGAAGCGGGGGGGCACGGGGGGCACGTGCCCCCCCCAAATTTTTTTAAAGGACTAAAAGTGCCCTTTTTTGTGATAAAAAGTGCCCTTTTTGTGTTGAAAAGTGCCCTTTTTTGTGAGGAAAAGTGCCCCTTTTGTAGAAGCTAATGTCGCTGTAAATACTAAATTAAAACAATAGGTGCCGTTTTTGTGTGGAAATTTACAATTTTTTTTAAAAAATTAGGTCACAAACATAAATTTC